CTTATCTGGTATTCCAAGACCTTTGACGGGATTTCCTGCAAGCACCAGTGTCTTGATGGCATGGAAAGGAAACTTTGCACACAAAGGTGTTTGGACTGACCCCTGTGTTATGCTGTCCTTCCTTTGGTCTTTGACTGTGCTAGACATTTACTTTCTCAGATTGGTTTCACTCTTAAAAATTGGGATCCAAAGAAATTCATTAGATAACTTAAAATAATGTGTTTTGTAGGCTGACATTTACAGAGCGTGATCAGGCCTTCAGAAAGACTGAGGCTGTTCTGGGAATGTTTTAAAATTAAAGGGGATAATGCCAATTCAGGTGATTAAACAGAACAAGCTATCAGAATTTCTGGGTATGTCCAGTTGTTTCTGTGATATGCTGCAAGCTGTATCTCAGTGTTGTTACATGCTTAAGTATAGCAGCGAAGAATTTGAGCGTATATGAGAAACTGCAGTGATGACTTATGGGCCATATAACGAATTTGATTGGCTGGAAACATTTATCTCTCAAGTAAAAGAGGAACTAAAAAATGTAGGAGAACGTATGTAATATATCTCCATCTCCGTACAATGGCTATTTTCTGTAGAGCCATATATTTCAGATGGTTATCCCAATTTGTCTATGATAGCACATACACCCAGAAAGAACTGCAGATATTTCGGGTCTGATCCTGGAAGGCTGCTGCATAATGATCATAGAATCATAGGGTTGGAAGAGACCCACAAGAATCATCAAAGTCCAGCTCCTGACCTTGCACAGGACAGTCCCAAGAATCATGATGCTCATGGTGTATTGTACATTTGTATCATATATATGACATTCTCTGCTTTTTGCAAATGCTTTAAAAATGCTCTTCCTCCTGAAGGAGCTTTGATGCAGGACAGGCACTAAGTTGCACTGAACCATCCAGCCAGTGGGCTTAATGGGACAAGGTGCTACTGTGAGCCTCTCCCTCTTTTCCATGCTCTGGGCATTAAAGAGTCACATGGTGCCATGTCCCAGCAAAACCACCTGAGTACTCGGTTGCTCAGGGACAGTCACAGAGTGGCACTGAAATATCCAAGTGATTACAGAAATTGATGAGAAATCAAAGTTGCATATGGTTGCTCTAAGGTTTATTTAAGATTTTTGTTAGATTACAAGGTGACAGCATAATTCAAATGTTTCTTTCTCAAAATGCTTATAATTTGATTGTGAATAATGTTCTTCATAAGACATCCAGAACTACAAGTTCCTCTATAAGAAAAAAATTCTCTGAAGAGATGTGCTGTACCAATGGGCATAAAACAAGAGCAAGACACTGTATTTTCTCTGACATCACAGATTATCTCACTGTTGATGCAGCAACACAGGTCTCTTCATCACTTTCACAGAGAATGAGGAATACTCCCAAAGGAGAAAAAAAATGAAGATAAAGTGCCTTCCAGTCTCATTTGCAGCTTCAGTAGTAACAGAATTTCTCCTGTTAAAATGATTTTGTGTAGAGGAATTACAAATAAAATGAAAGCCTCAAAGAAGGAGAAGGCATGTTTCTCAGGAGTTGTTGATAACTGAGATACTTCTTTCAAAATATGAAAGATAATTTTATATTAGAAAAACAGGAACAGCATCCAATTGTATCTTCTGAGTTTTAATAGGAAGGTCTTGGTTTAGAGTTTTAGAATTATATTAAGGACCCATCACACTTCTGTTCTGTACAAAAAAGAGAAACGAAAAACCCCCGAAACAACAACAACAACAAAAAACCTCCAACCAACCCCAAAACACAAAATTATTTTCCATGTGTTTTCATAGAGAAGAACGAGTTACTGATTTCTAGGTCTCATAAGAAGATCTAACAGATCACTGTGAGACTTAGAAAGTATAAGCTTTACAAATTCCTTCTTGAGAAAAGCAGATTAGCCTGAAAAAAAAAGGAACCTTGGCTGAGGTTGCAGCAATACAGAGTAAGTTTTTGCAGTATGGCTGTGCAGCATAGGTGAAATATAGCTTGCAAAATAGAACATTATTTCCTTTACATTATTCTTAATCTATTCATGTCCTGTCTATATAGTTGGTAAACTTACAACTGCAGATGTAGGTAGTAAGATTCATGTACTTTAGTTTCAAGAAACTGAAAATAAGATAAAGGTCCTGAAAAGAGAGTCCTTACAATGTGCTCTTTGGCTGCAGATATTTCATCCTGAAACCTCAGATTTTAAAGGATGGATAGTCCACCAAATATTAATGCCACTAACAGGTGTTTCATTTTACAGATAATTTAAAAATATATATTTTTCACCTCACGAGCCCTGTTCTTAAGCTCTGCAACACCAGTAATGACATTATGTATGAAGATATTCAGGCCCACAATACATTCACAAATATAATGTCACGCCAGTTTGCATTGTCTCCTGTAATCATACTTAAGAATGATCATAGATCTAGAGCCAAATTGCAACATTTGTGTGGAATAAGGGAATCCCAATACCCAACATATTTGCTTGCAATTGAGAAAAAGACCATTATTCGCAATTTAGAGCAATTTAGACTTTGTTCCTGTCTCATTAGTAGGAAGAAAATAATTTTTCAATTACTCATCACCTAGAGAGTTTTTAAAAATATAAATCAATAAACCTTGCTTTTCAAAGAGGCAAACTCAAGATAGCTTTCTCATTCTCTCAGCTAAAATTTTCCCTGTAATATCAACAGGTGCATGAAAGAATTTACTGAATGCATGCATAACATTGGTGTTAAAAAAATAGGTTTTTCATTGGAGTGTGCATTCTTATAAGCATTTATAGCTGGAAGGGAGCTTGTAAGTATGGGTTTACTTAAGTACAATTGAAATATGATGGCAAATATGGGCAATAGATGACTACAAAGCCTAGTTTCTAAAAATCCACTATAATATCTTACAGTGGATTTTTAGAAACTAGGCTTTGTAGATTCACTACTACTGCATTTTATTTGTTTATTTTTTAAGTTAAGCAAATTATGAACATTTTATGCTAGCATCTCCTGAAAATTTACACGAGGACTGATTTTTATCAATTAAGTACCAGCATGTACTTTTGTGCAACTAATCCCTGAATTTCTGCTCTTGAGGAGGTTTTTTGTTCTTTATTATCTCTAGGTTGTAGTTTCATTTGAAGACAGTTGAAGGACTTCTCTCCAAAAATTAGAAGAGATATTAGTCAAGACCCAGCCCATAATTATACAAGAATACATGAGGTATTCCTCTTGTCTGTATTCCTTTTCCCATGATTTACAACAGAATTATGTTCCACACTGACAAACAGGCTACCTCATTAAAGTTTCAGTCTGAAAGAAGTACAGTCCATGCAAAGTTGTCGCTTGGTCACTTAACGTAATGCCTACGTAATTTTAATTTTAATGATTTTTCAAAAGTTACTCAGAAAATTACCAAACAAAGATTTCTTGCACAGATTCTCACAATACTCTTGAATGAACGATTTTCTAAATAATTTTACTAAGATCACTGGAATTAAAACTGTGTGGACGAGTTTACAGGTCCAGATTCAGCTGCTGAATTCAGGGACCTAACCTGGTAACAGCACCTTGAACCCACTTTCTCGCCTCAGCATGGTGCTTCAAAGCTGCATTGGAGCCTCTAGAGCCAGAGAAGGGAGCCAGATGCCTGTGGGCTTCATTGGTGCTCAATACTCAGCTGCCTACAGCAGATGCTCACCACAGAGCCTGTGTTTATAAACTCTGACTATTCTGTTGTTGGAACCTTTTACAAAATGTATAGAGACAACTAATCACCACATAAGTAATTTCCAGGATGGAATTCTTTCCTGTCTACTTTCTCTGATTATGGGGCTTCATCATCTTTCCTTTCGGAGTAGGGACATGATGCTTTGCTGCAGGTGTACATACACTCTTTCTAAACTACAGCCTTTGATAAATGATCCAGTATCAGCCTCTAGCCCTGGATCAAGACCCAGGCAACTGTATCCCATAGAACAGCGTTTAGGAAAGTGTGCTGTGACTAACGAGGAGTGTGGTAAGTGCCACAGCACCACACCCACTTTATCAGCGTGCCTTGCAGCTCACTCCTCTTCAGAACACAGGCTCCCTGCACAGCTCACCAGGCAGAGCCCATCATCCCACAGCAACCCTTCTTCATGTTGGCTTTATGTTAATTGCAGTGTTATTTTGACCCTAAAAGGGAAATGTGTTAAATGCTTTGTGGTTTAGTTTCTTTTGGTAGTTTTTTATTTGGGTTTTTTTGTCTGTTTGTTTGGTTTTGTTTTGATTTCTGCTTCGACAGAAGTGTGTTTTTCCTGTGCTTTAAGATTTTGCTCAGAAATTGAGAATTCAGAGTATGAAATGGAGTCAAACATCCCTGCCTGGTCTTACTGACTTTTATTGAGACCTCAGATAAAAGCAGCATGCCATCATGAAATGAGAGATTGGGTTGTGACTAAAAATCAGTGATTTCAGGCTATGTCATTGAAACTTCAGTCTGAAGACAATACTGTGGCAGTAAATCTGCAGTATATGAGAAAACTGTGGTTTAAACATGTTTCAAAATGGCTCTTTGTAGTCTCTTTGCTAACTCATGCTTTCTTTTTCCCAAGACCCCCCACGACAAGTGTTGTCCCATGCAGGAATGTCCTGGGAAGATGTCCTAAGGTATTCTCATTGGACCTTGTTAACCCCTTCCTGTGATTGGGTGTTCCTGTAAGCCACTCAAGACTTCTAATTGGTTACTCTGTGAGTCCTTCTAACCCTATAAATGTAACCCCCCCCAACAATAAACCCTCTCTTGCCTCCTCTCCGCACCGGTGTGCTGTCTCTGTGCCTGCCATGAGACCATGTGGGTGGAAGGAGGGGAGAGCACCTCTGCCCTCCAGGCTCAGGACCTGAAGAAACCCCTAGTGCTGGAGTTCCCTTTCCCTATCCACCTCAAGCCGTAGGAAATGGTTCCTCAGATGGAAATGGAACTAGAACTGGGCCGCCCCATACCATGGGGGGAAAAGGATCCAGACAATACAGTCCATGCCAAGTTGTTGCTTAGTCACTTAATATAATACCTATTTAATTTTAAATTTCAGTGATTTTTCAAAGGTTACTCGGAAAATTACCAAATATAAAGACATAAAAGACAATTATGAAGAATTAAATTGCATGTAGACCACTGTCAAATATCATACAAGAAGTAAATTGTCTGTCAAAGAATAAACATGAATCAAACTTATTTTTTACTGAAAATATTCAATTTGATGGCACTTGCAGTCTTCAGAATATTTTTGTTTCAATCCTTTTCTTTCTGACCAAAGGCTTTATCCATGCTCTCAGGGAACTTGATGCATGATTCGAAGCATAGTATTGATTTTCTAGGAACGAAACTGGTGAGACAAACACGGAGTTAGGTTTGGTTTTTTTAGAAAAATGTACTCTATAAATAAAGAAATCGTAAATTCATTATATTTGCTCAGTAATTCTAATGTCTGGCAATAACACATTTGGTGTTTCCCCCATGTTATAAGTGGGGGAAATGAATGACAGGCCAAGCCATTTTGCAAAGGCCCAGCCAGCAGTGGAGGCAGTGACTGGAAGCAGACAGTTCTAGCCCAGGCATTACTCCCAGTGTACCATATCATGAAAACTCTTGAAATTTCTAAACTCAACTGTAGCTTAAGACATATATTAGAGACAGAAGGGGCCAGAGGAATGCTATTCACCTACACTATTAAAAAATTAAAACCACTGTTTCTTCAAAGTTGGGTACCTATAACTGGATTGACTGCAGGAATATTAACTAAAGGATTGCTTTTACTAAACGTTTCTGCTGATTTTACGGGCATATGGCAAAGGAAAGAAGGCAATACTAGAAGACAAGTCACATGCTTACGTTTTCAAACCCAATAAGCGTAAAGTTGGAGGCATGATTAGATAAAACTTTTCCTTTTTAATTGCATTCAAGATCTTGCTGGCTACATACTCTGGATCGTAAACAGGAAGTAAAAGAGGTTTTCTGTAAAACAAGAAAAAATTGTTATGGAATTATAAAACTTTGCTTTTGAGATGTATTCTAACACATATGTAATTAACTAACTAACTTTCCCCTCAAATAGCCTTGAAAAGGAATCTCCAAATCTCTTTGTTCCTGCTATCATCAGAATAAATTGAAAACACTTTGATGATGTTTTGAATCTTAATGGCTTTAGAGCAAGCAGAGCATAATGAAGTTAATGCCCACAATGATTGCAGCGTTTGAAAACTTCCAAGCTTAGCCATACTATATTCTCTTCTGTGCATAAAGTTCTGCCTTCTGCACACCTCCTCTTTCTCTACTGTGGATGCTGAGGTGACAGCTAAGTGGATCAGAACCAGGTCTGTCTCCAGCCAGGAGAAAGGCTGTGCTCTGCATAACATGTGCTCCTGCAGGATGATGAGTGGTGGAAGCAGGAGCAGAGCACTGAAAAACCAACATCACTGCTACCGTGCTACTACAACAGTTAATTCAGTACTTGCAGCATCTCCAATTACTGCACCCATAGTCTCCCACCAGATACTATCACTACAGCTATTCCCTCTCAGTGCAGTACCTGCTAATACAGATCATGGGGCACAGTTAATAATGACAGGTCATGGGTATCCTGACAGCCATAACTGTAATCACACTGCCAAAATTACTTGCGGCAGAGAACATCAGCAGTGTCCATTCTACTGACTAATAAGGCTCCCTTTAACCCTTAAATACTGCTGTGCATCCCAAACCATTCCTTGACTGTGAGGTTATTACAGTCCCTGTTGCACGTCAGTTATTAACTGTATGCAAGACTTGCATTTCTTTAGATCAAAAGACATAGTTTTATGTGTCAATAGGGCAAAAACACTGAATTGAAAATCAAATCAACCAGCTAGAGACTGAATATGGTATGTCTTGTGAGTAGTGATTATTTTTTACATACGAAATAGGACACAATCTGTTTTACTTACGCGCTTTGGAAACCTTTACTTAATTTAGTGTTAACAAAATAAGGGCAAATGATTGTGGTTTTAATGCCATGTTTTCCTGCATGATACAGTTCTGAACTAATGCCTTCCATCATTCCAATGATTGCATACTTGCTTGCAGCATAATCTGAAAAATGAATAAAGAAGAAATATTCAAAATCTCCAAAGCGCCACAGTAAATGCTATATACAAAATTTAACTCTTTGTAATAATATTTAATCCATTATATTATTTAGTTCTATAATTAGTAGCCTTCTAGTTAGTATTTTAAGCATATTGGTGATGCTAACTGAAGGTTAATGACTCTTCCTGTGGTTGATGCACAATTGTCTAAGGATAAGATTAATCCTTTCCAGAGCAGTTTTTTTCAGTGCACTATAGAGTGATATAGGAAGATGAACTTATTCAACCTTTTATGTGCATTTCCAGATACTCATATACAAATAGACATTCTTTCAGTTAGAATGTCTTCACCCTTCAATATCACAGGTTACATTTCAGAAAGAACTGTTTCTAGTGGTAAAATATAAATACCCTACTTATAAATGCTGCTTTAGCCTATTACTTCTGATTTACCCTGCAACTTTTTGTTTTGTTTTCCCAGGAAGATGGAATCTAGTCAGAATTTTATTTTTGATGAATGTACGAAACTCCATCCTTGGCGATAATCAAAACTTGCCCTCACACAACCCTTTGAAACCTGATCTAAGTTGGGCCTGTTTTTATTTGGATATGTGGACCAAATGACCTTCGGAGATTGCTTCCAACCAAATTATTCTACAATTTTAAAACTGAAAGAAACTAATGTAGTGATTTACATGTGGTTTCCTAAGGTTTTTTCAAATCTTTGTGTAAATAGTTGTTAGATACAGTGAAATCCAATTTTGCTAAAAGAGTGACTTCAAAGACTGGCATTACAGATAGTTTGCTATTCTTCAGAAATTCACCCCCAGTAAATGATGGAACCACACAGCCTAAAAAGAAATAGCTAAGGTGTAAAAGGTTAAAACACAGATACTCAGATCCACTCCTTTAAGTCTTACAGTTATATGATGAAAGCTGAATGTAAACTATATTGTCAATACCAAATACGACCCAATGATAACAGGTGCCAAATGAACACTACAGTAACACCATCAATCAGAAGAAGAAACAAGAGACACTTATTACACCGAAGTTCAGATTCTTAAAGAGTGTCCTCAGCGATACAAATCAACATGTAAGACAGGCTTGAGGAAAGACTGGGCAGCAGACCCAGACTGATGGAATAGGCAGGACTAGAGCAGACTGCTCTCCTGAGGGAAACAGCTTTAAATATTGAGCTTTTAAATAGCTTAAAACTTTATTCAAATTAATTTTATTGAAAATTCTGCCAAAATGCCTTCTGGACCTGAAAATCATTTTCTAGCTAAATATATAGTTCCAGATATAATCCATGTCTCAGGACTCCAAAGAAAACCTGGCGTGAGAAAGAGTTAGACTACCTGTGTGCAGAGCTTCTTCCCACTGCACGCATACAAGCTGTATTGTCCTTATTCTGCTGAGATAAGACAGCTTGTAATCAGACAGTAAAACCTGCAGCAAGCTCCCGGTGCCACTTGGGTAACGTGACACTGTCACACATCACCTTTGGCATCCACAGGTTCTCATCAGTATAGGTTGCTTAAGCCAGGCATTTATTAGGTCTCAGAGAAAAGTCATTTTTTTGTAGATCTAATTTGTAATGGCAGTTGACAATACTAACCTGTCGCTCTGTAGAGTCCCAGCAATCCGCTTGCACTGGCTGTGCTAACCAGGTGCCCACGGTTACAGGCCACCATGGCTGGAAGAAAAGCCTTGCAAGTCTAAGAGAATAAACATATAATTAAAAAAACCCCTTTATAAATAGACACGTCAAAAAAGTTGCATTTCAAAATTAGGCTTTCTGAGGCTTCATTATACAAGAAGCCCAACTGACCTTTTATCTCTGTAACAATTTTTAAATGATAGACAACATTTCCTTGAGTGACTGCCCTCTATTTGATGATCTAACAGCATTAAAACTGTCTTATTAAAAGCAGCAAAGTTTCTATTTTCTCTGCCTCCTGGTTCCTCACGATTTGAGTCTATTTGAGATTATTGCCAAAGGTTTGGTACACAAGAGGGAGCTAGAAGTCAACACATCAAGGGAAGTTCAGCTGCCTGTAGGTCCTTTTTCTTTACAAACTGAACTTCCAGACAGCTCCAGCATCCCAGACACCACTGTGGGTGACACTAACTAAGGAGAACGCTAGTGTTTTATGAAGGGTTAGATAAAAAAAAGAGACAAACAATAACAATTTTTTTTCAATAGCTGAGATGTCCTATTTGACTCCAAATGTGAGTACCTAGTATATCACTATCCTCCTGCCCGGTGTTTCTTCAGACCTGTCAGGGGGAACATCTCTCTCAGTCTATTTGCCTCAAGTATTTGGAAGAATGATGCAGTGTGGCTGAGGAATGCTTAGAGAACTCCTACCTGCAAGGATTTTCCACGGAGAATCGCCTTTTAACAAGGGAGTTGCAATGCTGTATTGTTCCCTGATGCAAGCTGTTCACTCAGGCATATAAACAAAAAATGCAAGAGGGGGCAAGAGTAACACTCCCTCACAACAAAAGCTCCTAAAGGTCAAATGAGAGCCCAAATAACAAATTCCTTCAGAGGTAATAAAATAAAGATAATACTTACTATCCACACTACTTTTCTATGTACTTTAGTCAGGTGGTGATTAGGAATGAAAGCACAGCCTGAAGACTGACACCAACATGTGCAGCAAAAAATGATTGGAATAGAATGATTTAGGTTGGAAAAGAACTGAGTCCAACTGTAAACCTAACACTGCAAATCCACCACTAAGTCATGGTTGTGTCTCCCTGAATGCTACAAGTCCCTTAGACAAAGACTTCTAATGCCAGCAAACAGGGAAGACACATGCCATCATGTCAGCACTAACTTCAACCACAGCTGTTACAGGTAGAGCACATTTCATGGTACAGTTGCACAAACTTTTGATTTACCAGAGTACTCAGGGAGGTTTGTGTTAATACTACTGAAACATAATGGGGAGACTGTCAATTTGGTGTGTTTCCAATTACAGGATGATTATGAAAACATATTCTCCCCCAGTTGAGGCCCTTCACATCCCTATTCCAAATTGGGGTTTTGAGGTAGACGCCACCATGGTGATTTTCACACCAAAACACTTGACTCTACCTTTTGGTCACACAGAAAAAAAAATAACAAACCACAAAACTTTACCCAGACTTGAGAGAAGAAGTTGGTTTTGAAGGTCTTTTCAAAATCTGCATCTGAAAGGTCACAGAACTTCTTCCCAATCAGTATGCCAGCATTATTGATTAGAATAGTAACATCCCCAACTTCTTTTTTAACCTGAAAAAAAACGCATAAAGTTTTAGAAGGTATCCTTGCCTCTTGTGCTTCATTTATGAAAATGTTTAGTGATATTTGCAGTAATTGATATATCTACTGAAAACAGAAGTACTTTAGAACTGTTATATTGCTTCAGATCAAAGGTCCATCTGAGCCTCCTAGCCCTTGTCTCATGGTGAAAAGCAATAAAAAAAGGACGAGGGCTCTAAGGTCTCCAGTGTACTTAACTTTTGACATGCTGCAACTTCAGAGCTTCCCGAGAGATATAAGGTATCAGAATCTTTGAGTTTAATATATCCCAGTGATTCTCCACCCCATCTCGCTCCCTGAATTTGTCTAATAGCTCCCTGAACTCCAGAATACTTTTGGCTTCCACAGGAATATAAGGCAATAAGTTACAAAGCTTTAGTGTGCACCGTGGGTGTGCTTTAGCTGCAATTGGGACATTTCTTGTCCCATATTAATCGTGTTGTGAGAGACTGCATTCCTCAGACAAGCCTGTTTAACCTCTTTTCTATATAATTTCTCCTGAATTGTAAAGAATTCAGCACAGATTCCTGGGGATACCAATCCTCTGAGTAAAAAGGATATACCATGAAATAGATAGATAACCTCACTTGGAAAGAGGGTCAAAATCACTGTTAGCTCAATTTATTATAAAAAGATTTTGGTTTATTATAAAAAGATCTTGTCCCAAGATTTGGATTTATATCAAAGCAGGTGGCCAAGATTTATTCATAGTATTAAGAATCAGTCTCACTGCAGAGATTCCTGTGCTAGAGGTGAGTGGTTATCCAGTGTCTCAAAAATTATAGTACGAATACAAAAACATAAAAATCCCATACATGCTGCTGTCTGGCAATTTGGAAACAGGTACTTCAATCTGATACCCCAACATCTGACCTTCCTTTGGCTCTCTCAGGGAACCTTAGCATTCAGTGAAGACTTGCTTGATACTCCTTCAACTGTGTCAGGTTTAATGCTTGTCATAGAAAACCAGATATTAGCACCATTCCACCTGCACAAACGAATGCAAATCTAGACACTACTGAGTATGGCAGGAATACTCAATTCTTCCTTCGTGGGATGTATCTGTGCTTTCTTCCCACTCATATCTTTTAACTGCTGTGTCAGTCCATATGATGATCCTCTTTTTCTTCACTTGACAACATAGCTTCACCAGTGTCAGTATTTTATTTAACCTGGCTTCATTTGACCTGTTTACTCACTGCGACAGAATACATGTGAAGCTTGGCTCCCATTTGCAAAAAGTCAGGCTGATTATTCTACATTACATATTTTGTCAGGTGTCTATTAATTCCTCTTTTTATTATGATTTCTACCAATTTTCTCTAAGACAAGATCATAGTTTGTGACCTCTCAAGTGCACTTTAGAACTGGAATGTTTGCTAGTCTTTGTTTCTGATAACCTGTTATAGCAAAACACCCCCCCACACATTTCCAGCCCATCAGATCCATATCTAATTTCCTTCAAAATTCCCGGGTGGACACTACCTGATCCTGAAAATTAGTTGCTGTTCACTTCACCAGTTTATTTTAAAAACCTCTTCTTTAGGGACTTTGGTTGTTTGATTTGCTTCCCAGAAAGAAAGCTTTCATTATCAGAAAATACCTAGGTTTTTCTGCAGTGAGTATATCAAATAAAAACAATTAATTTAACTTTTTTGGTATTGCTTTATCTTCTGGGTCCAAGCTCAAGACTTCTCATATTACCAATCAAAAAGTTTCAGGTATTTCCAAGAGTAGAAGAGGCCTCTAGATGAAAGACTCTTGAACTAAGAAAATTTCTGGCTTCATCATGACAGTTCAATATCTATGAAGATGTTGATATTGTTAACAATAATTTAACACCTTAACAGCAATTTCTGAATTTTAAACAGCTCTTCAAACTTCTATTGGTAGGTCAGTCTGTGCCCTGCAGCATAGTGTTTGCTGATATGGGCACAGCAAATTCTGCAGGCTGGAGCCCTGTGGCTCATTTGGTTAATGTGTTTGGAGATTGAAAATTACTGGAAGGCACAGAACAAACCTTTTGAGACTGTGTTAAACTAAGAGCAAACAAATAATTTAAAAATGTTCAGCATGGACATTGAAGTCCAACAAAGAAATTAACTGCATAAGCCCAAATTACACCTTTTGGTGAATGTCTTTGCAAGAAGCAAATAGCCTTTATGGGAACTGGGCTTTAATGCCAATTTAAAATGTTATCTTTTAAAGAGATTTGATCTTGGCAAATTCTAAGGTAAGTTTTTATTTTTACTTGCAAAAAATAAGATTTGAGAAGAACTGGGTTTTTTTATAGCATCATTTCAAATAAAGATCAAATGTCATATATGAAGTACTGACCACAAATTGCTCAGACAAAGTTTTCATCTTGCTTGGAAGTGATAACAGATATGAAGATTGCTGAAATTACTGTGATTGCTACTTCCAAAATTGCTGCAGTCATTATCAATGACACAGGTGTCAGGATCACATCATCTGTACTAAGTCATTGGCAAAGATAATCCTCCTTGAACACTGCATATTGTGTCAGCACAGGACAGACCACTCAACAACTTGCTCATCTGTGCTGACATGCTATTACAGTACAATAAATACACCACTGCCCAAGTAATACTATGGTACCACCTGTGGTTCTTAACATTTAGGACGAATGGCCCTAAGCAGAATTTTTTCTGTGCACAGTCAGCACAGTGTCTGTGTCCCTAATGGTGCTAACAAGGGTGGGTAAAATAACACCTTGTTGACTGCAAATGTGAGAATTGCAGTTTCAGATACTTACAGATCCTGAATCCAACTTACCTTTTACAGGTACTTTGCATTGGGAACATTTCTTGAGGGAAAAAAAATGTTTCAAACTTTCATAGCCATGCTCAGAAGGAATTAATTTGTTTTGGTTAAAATTAAAAGCAACAATCACAAAACAAAGAGCTTCCCCCCCAAATTTTCATAGAAAATTAATGTTACATTTCAAGGCTATTCTGAAACAATCTATCAACATTCACATGTCCTGAAATATTTTAGCTAATTTCTCTGATATATGCTTTCAGACACTGAACAGTGTATGTTCTTATATTACAGAAGAAGAATTTATCCTTGGATAAAATGGCAGAGTGGTTAACTGGATTATAAGTGAGGCTATACTGGGAAATATTTTCAGGCAGTTTAAGGACAAGTAAAAAGTAACAATGTGAATGTCCAATTTCTAGACTCTGACAATAATAAAAATAAAAAAGATAATAGTTTAAAGAATGTAGGTCAGCCCAGCAAAAGAGTTTAATTTAAAATGGAGCTCTTTTCTACCTTACTTCCCAGCTATATTGACCAAAAAATAAAGTGAAACTGAATCATCATTTTGACTGGACACCCTGATGACGTTTCTGAAAACATTATACCCTCAAAGAACTACAGTTTTCTATACAAATGGGCAAAGGAAAGAACTCTTCTCTTACAACATATACTGATTTTTTCCTTTTCTTTTTTTTTTAATTATTGCTTGATATCTTGAAGAAATTTCAAAGCCTAAACAAATATATGGAGATAACCTCTGCTGCATGTTTTACCATACTTGTAATATAAAAGAAGTTACTGTCTCACAATGAAGACTAAAAATGGATAAATCTCAACAGAACCTCTTAAATCCAGTTACTTTATTGAGAACATAGTTTAAGGTCTATCCAGAAGTGACTTGTTGAAAAGACAAAGTCATTGCCCTACATGATTTCTTATCTTTAGTGAATAGTAACAGTTTCTAAAAAGAAAAAAAAAAAAAGAAAAATAATTCGTAGCATATACTATTAAAAAGAAGCAAGAAAAATCAGAAGACGCCAAATCTTACCTTGTCTGCCTTTTCATAGACATCCTCTCTATTGCTGCAGTCACAATGATAGACAAACACCCGGTTAGCTCCTTTTTCTTGGGCTAATCTGCATGTTTCTTTGTTACCTTTGTCATCGATGTCCCAGAGAATCAAAGTCACTCCTAAAGGAGCAAATTTTAAGGCAATCTGCCTTCCAATCCCATTTGCGGAACCAGTAATAAGAACTATTTCACCAGCAAAAGATTTTTTGCATAGAGGAAATACACAGATGAGATTCTCAATAAGTAAATAAATGAAAAATTTCAGGTACTGCAGTAACTTCTGGATGCATCTGAAGTTGAGCATGATTTCTCAGGTACAAGCACCACTCTTCTGTAATTCAAATCCAGAAATAAAATACATTACGACACTGAGATATTGACTAAAAAAAGAGGTTGACCTTCAAACAGTCATTTCTTTTGCCTTGTTCTTTTGTGCAAATACAAAATACATTATTAAAGATTTGCTTTGTGAAATATACCGGATCCTTACTAGTAGAATTAAAGCAAATATCTTCTGCTAGATCCTATGGACCTTCTCTGTCATCCTGGAGTCCTCAGCTTCCGTCTCCTTTTTTGAAAAGATTTACTCACATTTTAAACAGGTATGTTGAGTCAATAGCTACAGAGCACTTTGTTTTCACAACAAGGTGATGTTAGCTGAACAAAAAAGTACTGAACACACTGGTGTGGTGTCAACCTTAAGAAGGAAGGTGTCCTCCTTAGCAGGAAACGTTACCTGTTTCGGGAGGCAGGCAATCGGAATGTTCCCACACTGTGTGTATTTTCCAGTGCCGTACGGCCAAAATCACACCACATATTCCCATTTGTGAGCTAATTGCCAGTCACAGGCAAAAGCCTAGCAATTAGGAACCTTGATTTTCACCCTACTTTAGACCGTACCACTTCCTTTACGGTGTTTGGGGCGGGAAGAGCGAGGCTCAGCAGAAGGAGCGCCCGTCACCGACCCGCCGGGCCCGTCCCGCCGCCGGGCTGTGTCCCAGGCGGAGGCTCCAATCTCCCCGCGGCTGCGGCCCCCTCGCCCCTTCCCCACTAGCCCCGGCCCTGCCCCAGCGGGGCTGAGAGCCCCTCGCTCCGCCCGCCCCACACTCCCCGCGGGCCCCCGCGCTCACCGCCGGCTCCTGCTGCCGCACTGCCCGCCCGCCGCGGCCCACGGATGGGTACTACCCTGCCCGGCCCCGGCCCGGCCCGCCCCGAAGGTTGGGCTCCGTGCGGGGGCGGGGGCGGCCCGGAGGTGCGGGTGCGGGGTGCGGGGTGCGGGTGCGGGGCTGGCCGGCTGGGGCTGGGGGAGGGGCAGGGGCAGGGGCAGGGGCAGGCGGCGCTTCCTGGCTGGCGGGTGCGGGATGCCGGATGCCGGCGGGGCGCCCGGCTCTGCGGCAGAGGGTACCAAGCCTTGTCGAGGGCATCTATCGGGCGGCAGCTGCCGCTACCAGGTCGACACATCCCGCTGCTGCTGCCACATTGGCGGCCCTCCCGCGCCTGGCCGACCCGGCCATCGGAAAGGCACTGCAGGTTCCATCCCGCTTGGAGAACCATCTGGCCAAGGGCTTGGATAGCAAGGGATCTCTCCTCCCCCTGCTGCTGCTTCGTAGCAGTTACAAAGTTAAAAACTTCTTACTTTACATCATAAATTACTGTTCACCGACTTTGCCGGGATGGGAGCAAAAAGGGACAAGCTGATCATAAACGTGTCTCCCTAAAACAGTGAAACCCCACGATAATCATTGTTTCTTGTGGGTCCTCAGTTTTCCATACATGCCTTATCCAACTTTAAAACCACAGTTCTGCACCACTGAAGCATCACTGTTTTTTCCCCAAGTTTGAATAGAAAACCACACTCCTACCTAGGTCCTTAAGAATGTGCTTTTCCTGTGGTGTTATCTGCTTGTCTCGATCACCTTGACATCTTCCACCCTGTTTACGTAAAAAGGCAATAAAGAGACCACTACTTTATTTGCAGTACTTTGAATTTTGCATAAGCGATACTGAAAGTCTTTTTTATCAGCAAGTCATAGAGGGAAATTATTTGAAAAAAGTCACAGCGTGCTCTGATCCACACAGATCAGATTAGACTTCATGGGGATTCACGGGGTATTTTTCAGTTAAGCTGAAATGAAATTATAGTTCACATAATTTGATGTAATTTACACCAGGAAATATGGTGGAAAATTCCAGGTTGTCAGTGTGAATAGTTGTATGGAAAGGATGTGCTTTCATACACAATTAACTGTTGAATATTCTATTTAGGTGCCAGAAAAAGGGGAAGCTGAAATACACTCACTGAGGCTGAAGGCAGATCTGTGGTTCCAAACAAGGCACCAAGCAATGCAAAATAGGTGGGTAAGGTAACTCCAAGTGTCTCACTGTAATCGGTAATTACATGGCAAAATCAGCAGACTGTGGTGAGAGGAAGTTGAAATGATTCAGCAATGAATTCCTGGTTAGGAAACAAACCAGAGGAGATGCTTGTTTATTATGATGACACTTCAAGGTGAACAGCATTGGTGAGGAACAGTGTTGCAACCAGAACTTTGCAAGCTGTAAGTTAACAGGAGGAGCCTGTTTCCAAAGCACGTGGTTATGCAAGTATGAGAACACGTCACTTTCCTGCTCTTACACTGAACTGACCTAAGAAGCAGCTCGCTATCATTCTATATGTAGTGAAAATGACAATGATGATTAAAAATTTGTATACCTAGATTAGAGAATTTGGTGTGGTACTGGAGTATTACAGTTTTTGCTAGCTTTAGGTAAAGAGTGGATGTGGTAAGTGACAAGGGACTTGGGGGACACACAGTGATTTTGAATAAGTTACATTCTGCTAGATTTGATGACGCCTTTAGAGACTTGTTTAGCATTTCGAGATTAAATATCTGTGTGGATTTTTGTCTTAGTTTTGTCTCAGTGTTTCATAACACTGAATTTTGTTGTCAAACAGAAACTTATTTTCCTGCCTGATGTATGCACCACAACTTGTCTCTAGCCCCAAACTTATCTTTCTCCGCAATTAACTTCAAATTTGTACCAGAAGCTCCATTTCCAAATGATATTAAAAGCACAGAAATAAAATTTTCCACAATGTTTGACTGCACTGGAAAAAAAAAAAGCCATGAAAACAGCCCCATGAGTGGTATTTTTATTATTGACCTTCCAGTAACAAACCTTCATGTCTGGCATTTGTTTTAATCATAACAAAGCTATTAAACATATGACACAGAGCAAATGCACAAATAAAAAAATTTAGGTACACCACTAACAATGTCAAGAACACAAATAACCACATGACCAAGAATGCCTAAAGATGACAGTAAACCAGCATCTTTATGTACCACTGAACATTTTGTATATACTCCATGTTAGGAGAACTTAAGAGAAGTCATAAGAGGCTGTCATGGTTTAACCCCAGAGAGCAACCAAGCCCCACGCAGCCACCCTCTCACTACCCCATCAGTGGGATCAGGGAGAGAATTGAGAGTGTGAAAACTAGAAAACTCATGGATTGAAATAAAGACAGTTTAATAGGTAAAGCAAAAGCTGTGCACACAAGCAAAGCAAAACAAGGAATTAATTCATTGCTTCCCATGGGCAGGCAGGTGTTCAGCCATCTCCAGGAGAGCAGGGCACCATCACACATAACAGTTACTTGGGAAGGCGAACACCATCATTCCAAACATACCCCCTTCTTCCTCCCCCCCCCCCCCGACTTTATATACTGAGCATGATGTCATATGGTCTGGAATATCCCTTTGGTCAGCTGGGGGCAGCTGTCCCAGCTGTGTCTCTTCCCAGCCCCTCATGTACCCCCAGCCTCCTCACCAGCATGGCAGTATGAAAAGCAGAAAAGGTCTTGGCTCTGTGTAAGCACTACTCAGCAATAACAAAACCAATAAAAACATCTCTATATGTAATCACTGTGTTCAGCACAAATCCAAAACAGAGCTCCATACTAGCTACTGTGATGAAAATTAACTCTACCTCAGGCAGAACCAGCACAGAGGCATATCAAATTAAGCCTATCGAGTCTATTAAAACAAATCACTATCCTTTATTTCTGTGCATAAGAATCGGTAAACACATATGCTAAAATCTATCCATGTAGAGAGGGATTTGGCTGAGGTTTTCTCATGGTATAAATCCTCTGGCACACTTACAATTGTCAAGGTGACAGAGTATTTCCATTAGTATATGCTTGTTGTGACACATGGAATTATCAAAACTGCTGCAGGCCTTGCATAGTAAATGTAAGTATAAGTAATTTTATTGGCCTTTTGATTGGTAGTAAAGATTAGAGTTAGATAATTACCTCCTATTCTCAAGCCATCTGGACCTTTTGAATATTTCTGGTGGATTACACATTGACCAATATCTTTTGGTTGCTGAGAATGTGAAGATGCTTACTTGCAAGGTGCTGAGGTGAATGATATTGAAAAGCATCTTCACTGCTGAGCTGCAATAGGTGATTTAAATATATATTATTAATTACTAGTAATTAATATATCCCCCAGCTTTTTATAAATAGTTATTAAGTATTTATCAATATATTAATAAGACATTTGCGTACTCATCATCATCATCGTCATCATCATGCTGGGCTTCGCGAACGAAGATTTGGGAAGGCCTCTACCCATGTTTGTTGCAAGCACGTTGGTGGCTAAAAAGGCCAATATGAGATAGGCATGTCAGGTTGCAAAAGGCACAGCAGAAAGACTCCTCAGGTGGTAAATTCTGCAAGGCACGATTCTTTCTGCGTTGTCTTTTCTCCTCAAGAGTGATCCTGCGTGCTTTCTCAAAGGCATCAGCAGCGTTATAGATGGTGTGTCTCCAGGCCTCCTGACTGGAGGCCAGAGTAGACCAGTTATGGTGATCAATATGGCCGAGGCTGAGATGTTGTTTCAGGGAGTCCTTGTATCTTCTCTTCGGGGCTCCTCTCTTGCGGCAGCCAGTGGCAAGTTCACCATACAGCAAGATCTTAGGGAGGCGGTGGTCCTTCATCCTGGAGACGTGCCCTGCCCAACGCAGCTGTGTTCTCAGCAACATGGCCTCAGTACTTGTGATTGCTGCTTGTTCAAGAACAGATGTATTGGTCACATAATCTGACCAGTGGATATTTAGGATTGTACAGAGACAGCATTGATGGAAGCGTTCTAGGAGATGCAGGTGGTGGCAGTAGATGACCCATGATTCGGATCCATATAAAAGAGTTGACAGCACTATGGCTCTGTAAACACTGATCTTTGTACTTTTCTTCAAGTGTTTATTACGCCAAACTCTTATGAAGCTTTCCAAAGGCACTATATGCCTTTGCTAACCTGTTGTCTATCTCTCTGTCAATCTTACCCTCCGAGGAGATGAGGCTACCTAGGTAATTAAACTGCTGGACTGATTTGAGCTCTGATTCACCAATGGTGATATGGGGATGATGGAAGACTTCCTGAGATGCAGGTTGATGGAGAACTTCTGTCTTCTTTAAGCTGACTTCCAGCCCAAAGAGCTCAGCAGCGTCTGCAAAGCAGGATGTTGAACGCTGCAGAGCTGCTTCTGTGTGGGCGACAAGGGCAGCGCCATCAGCATAGAGCAGCTCCTGGACAAGATGGTTTAAGGTTTTAGTGTGGGCCTTCAGTCGCCTTAGGTTGAATAGGCTTCCATCAGTACGGTATCGAATGTAGATATCGTCCTGATCCTCAAGGTCTGCCATGGCCCTTTGGAGCATCATGCTGAAAAAGATTGTGAATAGAGTTGGTGCAAGAACGCAGCCTTGTTTCACGCCATTAGTTATTAGAAAGGGCTCAGAAAGTGCATTGTCATATCTGTCTTGGCCGTGCTGATCCTCATGGAGTGAGATGATCATTTTAAGGAACTTGAGGGGACAACCTAAGCGTTCCAAAATCTGCCATAGACCTTTTCTGCTCACAGTATCAAAAGCCTTGGTGAAGTCAACAAAGGTTACATAGAGACCTTTGTTCTGTTCCCTACACTTCTCTTGCAGTTGTCTGAGAACAAATACCGTGTCTGTGGTGCTCCTGTTTGCTCTGAAATCACATTGGCTTTCAGGTAGAATTCCTTCTGCTATAGTGGGTATTAGTCTGTTCAAGAGTATTCTTGCCAGGATTTTGCCAGCAATGGAGAGCAGAGTAATACCACGGTAATTT